ACCGAGATATTGTTAACACTGAACTGTGTAGAAAATTTCATCGCGATTGGACTCTCCTTTCAAAAGTTATCGTGTTAACGGCCGGACGGACACACTGACCGATTCTAGAGTGTACTCACTTTTTGAGTACACAATAATCTGTGAACAAGAACAGAAGGAAGTATAAAGAAATTTAAAGTATCGATATCGTTGACAGTTTATTTCGTCAATGCATCAATAGAACATAGTCATATATTGGATTCTAGAGTAAATGCATTTTACATTGAATATGATATTCGATCATATATGAGACAATAGCAAATCATTTGTGCTGTTTGAATACAAAAAAAAAAAGCTAAGCTTGTATGACATAGAAGGTTGGCAGTAGAAATGTCGAAAGGAAAAATATCGAAAGGAAAAGTGTCGAAAGGGAAAAATGTCGAAAAAAATATAAATTAAAAATATGGCTCATTATACTTGTTAGAAAATCTTGAAATAGAAGAGACGATCTTTATTCTTTATGCTAACACTAACATATGTTAATAAAAAAAATGTATCAATGAAGAAATAAATTTAAAAAATCATTTTTTTCGTTTTGCAACAATGAATGATAAGCCATCTAAGTATTCCATGGCATTTATAACACCATCGTAATATCGTTCACCAAGATTATCGATACGACGTTGAATTGCAATTGTTTTAATTTGCTTAGGTCGTGTTCCTAAACCTGCATGAAATTGAATACTTAAGTGATGAAAACGATTTTCTTCTTCTTGAAGAAACTTTATGAACGACCAAATGTTTGGATGATTAAGTTGAACTCGTCGATTGAAACGACTGTGAAATGCTAAATAAAATATATAAGAATGAAGTTATAAGAAAATTTTGAAAAGTATTTACCTTCTGCATTATTATTCGTTCTGAAACTAAGACCATGTACACACCATTGAGATATTGGAACTTTCGTAAACCATTGTTCTTGAAAATATTCTAACAAATCATCAAGTTTTTTTTAATTCTGTTGCTGTTGCAGCTAATAAATCATCATAAGTATCTTCAATAATAGGTTCAGGAAGTAAAGGTAGAGCCATTAATTTTCGACAAAAATGTTTAACATCATCATCGTTATTATAACTTGTACAGGGTTGGAAATAATATTATTCCAGGGGGTAACGCTACAATTCTAAATACCAACCCTAATGAATTTTATACCAAATGAAAGCCCGTAAAAAATGGGGTTTCCTGATGCAAAATTGTAAGGGTTCTGACATATTTTTTTCTAACAAACTTTCAAAAGTTTCGAAATTTCGTAGAACACACCCGTTATAATTTACTTTCGAAGCACGGTAGAGCAAAGAAAAACAGAAATTT